TTTCTTATCGTTGTTCACTTTTAAGAGCCCTTAGCATATAGGGTGCAAGCTATAGAAAAGCCTAACCTTTCTGTTTCCAAACTGAGCAATTCGGCGCGCAATTTGTCAACTTCTGCTGAAATTGTCCATAATCGGTTATTCTCTGCAGTCTGAAACAGAAAAAGACAGCAGAAATTCAAAATATCCTGCTTTATTTCTTTTCAAATAAGCGGCTTTTTTGATGAGTCGGGATCGGAGAAGAAATCCAAGTACATTTTTTCGTGAGTACCACGAGCAGAAACTGATGTTTTTTGAAAAAAAAAGAGACTATACATACCATAAAATCAAGCTTTTGCTGCAACGAAATAATTTTGTTTTCCAGTCCTTTGTTCAGCTTTTGCAAATGTCCCACGGAGCGTGCTTCTATCTAAAACAGAGGCAGTAGAGCTTATGAGGTTCGGTAACATAGAAAACACCTAATATAAAAGTGAGATGACAGTTAAAAAAGCTCAGCCGATCCAGTTCTTACGCGTCAAGAATGATTAGGGAATAAAAGTAGCAAGTGAAGGGAAATTTCGATCAGAGTAAAAAATTGATGAATGAGGTAAACCTGTTTGCTGAGGAACAAACATATGCTCCTCTAATTATTTTTCAAGACATCAATCATAATACTCAAAGATACACGCAACACTGGCATTAATGTGCTAAAATCAATTGACGGTATGTGGTGCGGAAGTGTTTCAACTTTTTTTTTTGGACACACTGAAACAGCCGAAATCGAGAAAAAGATATGCACCAAATTTTTAGAAGCCGTGCAAAACTGTGCAAAAATAAAAGTGGACGTAAAAATTTGGATAACAACTCTGTGCAGCAGCAAGTGGTGGAAAAAAATAAGAAGGCGAAAAGCAGCAGTCATCCGATCATTTGCTCTCACTCAGTAGATTATCAAAACGACAGTAAACGGTCAGATGATTACTATTTTTCTGCCCTGAAAGAGGCATAAAATTCACCCGAGTGCGAAGAAAATTTGAGTGCAAAATTTAGCCTGACACACGCGAAAGTCCGACAAAATCATATCTGTGCGACGAATATAATTTTGTGCTAAAAACTTACATGTGTACCCGAGATGGCTAATAAAAAAATTCTTTTTTTTTAACTGGCAAGGGTGCTATAGCAAAAAATTGTGCCTCACAGACAGTGCTAATTTTTGGCAGGAGGTGCTCAAAGGGG